TGGATTTCTTCCACCCACTGTAAAGCTATCTGAATAGCGATCATCTCTGCTGCATATACTGATATATTATTAGAAGTTCTTTTTGCAGATTTAGATTTAAAGTGAGGAATATACATGGCAGCACTGGTACGCCCAGTTTCTGGGTCTTTAGAACCATCTGTATAAATTTGTAAACAAACTTCTGACACTTAAAGCATCTTATAGGTGGGGGAATATACGGTCGTACCACGTAACTCAAATATCCTAGATACACTTTCTCAGGTAATTTTTCCGCATCAAATTGAATCATTACCGAGAGGCTATCTGCCTTTTGTTCATTTTTGACAGATTTAAGTCTCTTCACATCTTCTACTACTGCCCCTGATAGATTTCGTTTGATAGACTCAACTGAAACATCAGTTGATATCCCTGTTATCACTCCTTTCACCCATTTCCTTTCCTCCATTATTGTACACGATACTTTTATTCCCAGCAGAGATTTTAGTCCTACTGCAGCTTTTTGCTGCTTCTTGTCATGACACAACAACAGTAGTCTGCCATCTCTCACCCTCTTTGCACTATCAATCTTGCCAACCGCTTCTTTCAGAGCTTTAGTTATTTTAATTGGGTTCAACACATTAGCCGATTCCGCAAGAAATTTAAGCATTACCTTGTACTCCTCTTTCGGTCTACTAACCTGTTTCCTTTCTCTTTCACTATCTGATCCAGATGTTTGATCCCTCATTTTTTTCCACTAAAGATTTTCCACTAAAGTCCAATTACTATTTTCAGTACTTTCTAATTCCCCGCCATCCATTCCATCCGTCTCCGGATCACTTCCTGCATCTACGCAACTTCCTTCCATCACCACCTCAGTCACACCCCAGTGTTGCCACAGCCCGGAATCCGGATGTGGATTCATCAGGGCTGCGCACTTAAAAGAATGACATCATCATCATCTTTCCATCAACATCATCCCTCCATCTGTACATCATTCTGTCAATAGCATCGCATCCTTCCCTCGCCATCGATCATTCATCATCCCTCTGTACATAATTATTTTACCACTATGCATCCATCATCCGTCCTGCATCCTTTATCTCTAAGCACTGGTAATTTTTTTAAACTCTAATTACCGGTAACATGTGTGAGACTGAACAAAATGCCACCTAATAACAGAAACCCCTTTTATACACACTTAAATGGAAGCCAATATGTTAAGTGGAAAAAAATGTTTAAAACAGATGAACAGATGTCAAATAGTTATATGCAATTATTTCTATAATACCATATGAATGTCTAATAACACAATCCGAGCTTTGATTTAACATCTATCTATCTATCTATCTATCTATCTATCTATAAGCAATTGTAACACGTCTGAATATATAGATACACATATAGCCTATATCTACCTGAATATATGTCTGAATAGATGCGTCTGAATAGATAGATAGATAGATAGATAGATAGATAGATACACATAGCCTATATAGGATAGATAGATAGATAGATAGATAGATAGATAAAAATAAACGTGGAGCTGTTGGAGTGTGTGCCATTAAGATTACCCCGGAAGGCTTTGACTCGTACTCCTGCCGGGTCGTTGTTGAACTTGGTGTTGTTGGTGCAGAATAAGCTGTTGCAGCATGTTGTAACACAGACGGATCTGTCAAGCGCTCAGCTTGCGCAAGATTCACCAGTGCGTTCAGCCACTACTCTGTAAAATAGCTACTTTTTACTTTAGTTTCTCGGCTTTTGTGCAGAAATAATGGATATATGCTGGCTGTGTGTGATTCTCGCTGGGATCGCAGTTTATTTACTAACGCAGTTTATACGCTTCATCTTCGCCGACGCTGATCTAACTTTATTATGGGCGGCCAGGTTCGGCAACAAACCAGGTAATATGAATCAGAATCTATAGGCATATAGTCCTACATTTACACACTGAAATAGGCTTGTAATGTAAAATGTTCTACTGTATTGATCGGGCTATTTAACAATGTCAAGTGTGACACATTCCTTCAAGACCATGGAATTTGCACTCTGTGGTTAATTATATCTGTCAGTGTTTTAACAACCTGTATGTGTGTGGAGGTCACCATCGCATTATGTGACACGTAGCCTGCTACAATATAATAAAGTATTTATATTTTTTAATAAGAAAAAAAATATATAAACTAAAGTCTGTATAAACTGTGATATGTATCATCTAATGTGATATTTCATATTTTTAATAATTACGTTAACTTACAGCTGATAACAAATTTTATTTCAGTGTCTTTATACACACACAAATGTTGGGTTTTCATGCTTTATGGCAGGGGTGTCCAAACTCGGTCCTGGAAGGGTTAGGGTCCTGCAGAGTTTAGCTCCAGCTTGCCTCAACACACCTGCCTGGAAGTTTCTAGTATGCCTAGTAAGAGCTTGATTAGCTGCTTCAGGTGTGTTTGATTAGGGTTGGAGCTAAACTCTGCAGGACACCGGCCCTCCAGGACCGAGTTTGGGCACCCCTGCTTTATGGGGATTTTCCATAGATATAATGATTTTTGTACAAACTCTATATTCTATACCCTACACCTGAACCTAAATCTATCCTTCACAGAAAAAAACAGCACGATTTAAAGCTGTTTTCCTCATACACTCTCAGAAAAAAAAAAGCTGTCAAACCTTTTCAAAGGGTACGCTTGCCGCCTTAACCCATAAAGGGTGCACTTTAGTACCTTAAATGTACATATTAGTACCTTTTGAAAACGTACTGCCTCAGTGACGGCTTCTGTACCGTTTTTTTTCCTGAGTGTTGGAACCAAATAAATAAATTAATAAAAAATGTGTCCCCTGAAAAAAATCTTGCAGCATAACAAGCACCTTGTAGTTGTAGTTGCACACAGGGGCGGCGTTTCCGTATGGCAGAGTATGGCAGAGTAGGGCCATACCCTAGCCCAGTCAGGTGTGCCGTGAAAAATTATCCAAACTTCACATCTCTATTATAATTCGTTATTATTAAATAATAAAAATCAGAGGGTTTTTACAAATATTTAACCAATGCTAAGTATTACAAAGGGCTTGTCAGTAAAACTTCGTAACGCTATTGGATCCTCAAGCACTCAGAGAAACCTCGTAACTTCACCCCGCTTCCATTCAGATTGACGCGCGCACAGCCTGGAGATAGATCTCCGCTTTTTCGCAATGCAAGGGTAAATAAATAACTGATATTTGAATAGTAAAGCATTTTCTTCAAACACTATGTCTGTAAAAGGCTAATGTTTTTATGTGTTTGAAGAGCGGAAAAGTAGGTTATTTGCCGTCTAGCCAATAGCCTATACTTTTGTAGGCCTACGTTTTAAATATCCTGTGCATAAGCGCTTCATCGTTTATATCATGAGATTTTGGCCAAGTGTAGGCCTTAAACAACAAGAAAAACTAAACGCCCATATAGCAACTATAATTTAACGTTATATAACCTGTAAAAGTTGATGAAAGCGTATAATGCGATGCACTTGCCTCAGATGCGGCCGTTCTAATGACAGACAAAACACAGATCTCCTCATTCGCCGGCCAAAAACCCTACTAACTCCATCTGAGCTCGTTTTTCATATAGCCTGTTAAGTGCAAGTGTCTGATACAATACCAACACTGACGACGCAGTGTCGTTTAATTATTGACTTTTTTTTTTGTAGCTTTCTTTCTTTTTTCCCCCTGTAGCTCACGACCCCCACCCCAGCGCGCATATGGTTTTGTGAAACGCCGCCACTGGTTGCACACAAGCCAAGTTTTAATATCAAATTAAATGTAGAACTGTCAGAAATGTTACAATGAACCATTTCTGAAGGCACAATTATATACCAGCAGCATAGATTAAAATGTATTAATTTAGCTTGAGATTGCACAATACAATTTATTATCACCTAAACATATTTATCCTATATAATGTTTAAACTTTTACAAAAATGTACTTCACCTTGAAAATGCACCTTTTCTTAGACTGACCCATCTACTGACTTTACAGTCCTGCTCTGTTGAGCATTCCTTCCATTACTATACCTTATAAACTGTTTTTGATAACTTTATTATTAATTAAATAATATACAGCATAGAGTTATGGTTTAGATTTTTTATTTATTATTTTTTTATTGTGTAGAGTCAAATTTGAAAGGCAAAGTGGTGTGGATTACCGGAGCCTTGAGTGGCATCGGGGAGGAGTTGTCCTGTCAGCTCGCGGCACTCGGTGCTCGGCTAGTGCTGTCTGCCCGCAGGGAGAATGAGCTGGAGAGGGTGAAGCGCATATGTTTAGGTATGAACAGTCCTGAGAAACGTTTGAGAGAGGAATAAACACGTAAAACCTCTCAGGGGTCAATTAATACACGTTTACAAGATTCATGTCTCTTGCCTCAGAGCTGCAGAGTGTGACCCTGAATGTGTTCACAATTATCGCTGCTGTCATTACCTGACAGATATGTACTAAAAGCATCCACATCATGACCTACTGACACAAAATACACTCCTTCTCTCCTTCTATTAGAGCGCTCCTCTCTAAAGGCTGAGGATATTCTTGTTCTTCCACTTGATTTGTTGGACCGTGCATCACATCAAGAAAAAACTGCTACAGCTCTGAAGCACTTTGGTGATGTAAATGCCATCTGTATTTCATATCCAATATTCAGAGAGTTTCTGTTATTGTTTCTTATGGATTTATATTTCAGTAACACCAAAAAGTATACTTTTCAGAATACCGACTTTGATTGGATTTTCCTAGTATTAAAACCTAAGAATTAAAGTATGCACTGGTACTTTGAATAGGTGAAAGGTGAATAGGTCACCAAAAAATGAACATTTGCTGAAAATGTACTCACCCCCAGGCCATCCAAGATATAGACGAGTTTGTTTCTTCATCAGAACAGATTTGGATAAATTTAGCATTACATCACGTGCGCACCAATGGATCTTCTGCAGTGAATGGGTGCTGTCAGAATGAGAGTTTTTTGATTGATTGATTGATTGAAGTGGCAAGTATGGTGACCCATACTCGGAATTTGTGCTCTTCATTTAACCCATCCAAGTGCACACACACAGTAATGAACACACACACACACACACACACCGTGAACACACCCAGAGCGGTGGGCAGCCATATTGCTGCGGCGCCCGGGGAGCAGTTGGGGGTTCGGTGCCTTGCTCAAGTGTCTCACCTCAGTCTGGTATTGAGGGTGGAAGAGTGCGCTGGTTATTCACTCCCCCCACCGACAATTCCTGCAGGACCTGCAACCTTCAGGTTACAAGTCCGACTCTCTAACCATTAGGCCACGAATGGCCCTTAGAGTTCAGAGTTCAGACAGAGTTCAGAGTTCAGTTCTTAGAGTTCAGACAGCTGATTACAATAATCCACAATTAATCCACACAACTCCAGTGTATCAATTAATGTTTTGTACAGTGAGAAGCTGCATGTTTGTAACAAACTCATCTACTATGCACCAGTGAGCCAAAGTTCCTACATTACATGAAAATAAAACATGAAAACTTAAGACGTATGCAGAGATAGGTATGTAGAAAACCGTAAATAATCATCTGAAAAACCCATAGCATTACGTAGCACAATTTTTCGTCATAAATTTCTCTGTTGACATTGGAACAGCTGCAACAGACTAGCAATGCCATTCTGAGCATCAAGCAATTTAATGCTTTAATATTTAGTAGGATTCCCACTAAAAATTTCTTAATTTTTTGTGTGTCTCTATCTGCATTCTCAGATAGACGCGTTGATAAACAACGGAGGCCGGACGCAGCGTTCTCTGTGCATAGAGGCTGATGTGGATGTGTACCAGGCACTTATGGAGCTCAACTAGCTGCCCCACATGATCCGCCGTGGTAGTGGTATCATAGCAACCGTCAGCAGCGTTGCAGGCTTTGTAGGGGCGCCCCTGGCAACAGGCTATGCTGCGAGCAAGCATGCGGGGCAGGTGAGAGCAAATAGTTCATAGAATTCCCCGAGAATCTGCCTACTCTTATGCAGCCATGTCTGGTAAAGGACAACAGTAATAAAATATAGAAAAAGCTCCTGATTTGTTGTGTTTCTGCAGGGGTTCTTTAACTCTCTGAGAACAGAACTCGCTGATTATCCAAACATCACCATCAGTACCATCTGCCCCGGACCAGTAATATCTACCATCGTTCAGAACGCGTTCACAGAGGAGCTTGGCAAGGTACCTGCACCAGGTTTTTTTTTGGTAAAATAAAAGTTAGATGCAGGGCGGGTCTAAGGTAAAACACCAGTCCAGTCTGTGCTGAAACATTACTGTCAATCAAACTATCGTGGGCGGGGCCTGTTGTTGTGACGTCACACAGACAGGCATCTGAGATCGGCTCGATTTGAGAAAGGGTAAAGATTTCAGTAGAGGAAAAAAAAAACACTGGGGGGATTTTTATCATAGGGTGGTTGTGTACACACACTGCCAACACACATTTCAGTTCAAACAACTTGTAAAAGTGCATGTAGCATCCTATGACCCCTTTAAACTAAAGGAAATTTTTACTGAATTGTGTTTAAAGGTGAAGTTTGCAGTTTCTGCGCTAGTGTCACCTAGTGGAATTACAAAAATTAAGCATATTTTCAAACACAATCCTTTGCAGAACTATCTTAACATGCCTTTAAGATTATTCTTAAGATTATTTATCTGTGGATTGACTGTAAAGAGTTAAAATGTGTGGCAAAAACTTGACTTTAGCTTACCTGGCGAGAAGAAACTGCAAATTCGACATCTCGATTCAAATCGTGTAAAAGCACCGCGAGTGTTTACCGTTGTTTTACCCCGTTGTCTGCGTATTTTCGCAAGTCTTCGAATTTTGGCTTGCACTTCTGTAACAATCTGAATATATTTTTTCAATGTAACAAGTCAGCTTAACACCCTCTGGCTCAGCCTGCTACAGTAGCCACGCCCCCAAACGCTCACTATTGGTTAAGCGGGAAAGAGATTGACGGATCTGGGGTGCGTTTCCCAAAAGCAACTATGGTCGCAAGTTCCGACGTTACCAATAGATTTCAATGGAACTAACTACCATAGTTCGCTAACGATGCTTTTGGGAAACGCACCTCTTAGTGGAACGCTCTAATAATGTTTCGATGGTGCCTAGGACGCTCAATGTTTACACTATTGAGGGATAAAAACCCATGAATGGCATACTTATAGTAGTCAATTAACAATAAACTGGGCTAAAAACAATGTATTTAAAAAAAAAAATCTTCACCTTTAAAAGTACTAAAGTAACTGAAATAAAACTCAAAGAAAAAATGTAAATTTAGAAATACAAAATAAAACAAAAGCACAAAAAATTACAATTTAAATAAAAAAGCTCATTTTAAATATTAATAAAAACTACAACAGTATATAAATATAATACTTATCTGCACTCAGAAAGCAAAACAAACGATCATTAAATCAAAATTCTTTTGCATTTGCTTAACTAAAAAGTTTGTTTTTTTCTCTTTAGCCTGTGGATACATCTGGTGATCAGACCCATAAGATGTCCACAGAACGCTGCGTTCACCTCACCCTGGTAGGTCTGGCCAACCATGTGAAAGAGATGTGGATCGCTGAGCAGCCCTTTCTACTCTTCTGCTACTTGTGGCAGTACACTCCCACTCTGGCCTGGTACTTGACTAATGTTCTTGGTAAAAAACGTGTGCAGAACTTCAAAGCTGGACTGGTGAGTAGTGGGACTTTGGTGTAAACCGATCCCTGAACTAGTTTATTTATGCTACAATAGCACTAATATTTTTTCCGAATCATCTTCTTTTCTAGGATGCAGATTCTGCATACTTCAGGAAGCCAAAAGTCAAGACAACTTGAAAATCTCATTTCAAGAAACACCGATTTGTGAATTTCTTACCAGAAGGAACCGGGAAAGTCACACTATTTCACTACGTCATCAAATAAATATATAAAACCTTATATTTTGCACGCTGTATCAATAAGACAAATGGCAAATCTTTAAAAAATGGCTATGCAGTTGATTTATGTATTCTTTGTGTTTACTGTATTTAAATGTCCATTAGTTGTAAATGGGAATTAATATTCTATAATAATAAACATTTTAAGTTTGTGTGAACAAAAAAGACAGTAAAAGATTTATACAAAACATTTGTATTTCTTCCATACATACAATTGCACAACCATATAAAGACCCAAATAGGATGAACAAAGGTGCCAGAGACAATATTTATAACACCAGGTGGTCACATGAAAAAAGAAAATATTCATAACCACTGAAAATAGTAACCAAGGCACATTCTTGAGATCTGACAAACAGGTTCTCCTTTTTAGGGCTCTTGACAGATGCTTAACAAAAAAGTGGAAAAGTGCAAAAATAAAATAAAAAATGTGAAATGGAAGCTCAGTGTGAGGTGAGATTCAGTCAAGGACACCCAAGGGTTCACTGCTGAGAAAATAGTGTACACTTTCCAAAGAAGAATATAAATCTGGGCTCTGTGTCTGAATGAGTTTACAGTATTATTGTGTGGAGAGGATTTTGCTGGAAAGATCACATTTACTTCATCCCAGCCGCTGAAGTTCATGAATTCATGCATTTCTTCCAGAAGCCAAATGTCACTACAACAGTAGCAATTTTAAATGCTTCATACGTTCAATAAAATATTATACCGTATCCTGAATGAAGAAGAAATTAAATGCAAAAACTTCTGACCGTGTGAAATTCATGTGCTGGCAGCATACGTGCGCTGATCTCAGGATGGTTGTGGGTAAACAAATGAAGGTGATTAATTATCATAAGCAGCGTAAATGGATGGGTGGGGATGAACAGATGGGGTATCCCAGAGGTGGATCAGCTGCTTGAACAGTTAGGTTCCTCAGCATCACAGGATGTGCCTGAATGCTATAGCGCTCCTCGTCGTCATTAGTGGCATATAGTAGTTCCCATGACAGGTTGGCCCACTGGCCCCTCACACTCTCCTCATTCAAAACTCCAACCTGGACTAGATTCTCCTGCAGGGACAACACACGGCTCGTGTACGTCCCCTATGAAACACAGAAAATGTATTACACAACAACAAATGATCATTTGGCATTTTTTTAAATGTAATTTGATCTGTAACGCAAAGATAATGAGAATGCATGAAGAGTAGGGGTAGACCAAAATTTAAAATCATGTCAATACGGTAATTGTCAATAATCAATAAATGACCAGTACTAAAATTCTATACCATTTTATATGAAAAAAAAAAAAGAAAATCACTTGCCAAATGCTAAATGTGAATTTAAGCATCATAACTGTAAATGTATGATATGAAAAATGGATATTCATTTAAAGATTTCCTGAAAATTACATTTAACTGTGTTATTAAATTATACTTAAAATTATAATTATATTAATATTGAAATATTAACAGAATAATTAAATTATAATTGAGTTTGATGATGGCAAAGATAATCTGAATGAAATAGGGGAAAAGAAGCATGTACAATTAAATATCCTATATTGACTGATACCAATAAAAAAAAGATGTAATCGGCCAATATGGTACAAATATGTTTTTCAGAATAGTCTCAATATAATACAGTGACCTAAACATATGCAAGAAGTAATTTGTCTGTATGTATTTAATTTGGAATTCCAACACAACATTACACAATCACAAGCTAATTTATGTGGAGCATGATTTTGGATCAATGAGATTTCATTGTGGGCAAGGCCTATTTGGCAGAAATATAATACAGTGACCTAAACATATGCAAGAAGTAATTTGTCTGTATGTATTTAATTTGGAATTCCAACACAACATTACACAATCACAAGCTAATTTATGTGGAGCATGATTTTGGATCAATGAGATTTCATTGTGGGCAGGGCCTATTTGGCAGAAATAGGGGGGGGGGTCCTTACATACATTATAGTCATGGCTAGTTACGGCAAAAACTCATATATATACTCAGAAGAGATGGTTTTATTGCATCACAGCTAGATACGAGACAGTGTTTGGTAGCAATGGTTACATTCCAATAAATGTGTTTACCATGGTGAGATCGTGTCCGAGAGAGAATAGGACAATAATTCTCTTGTACAACACTGTCTTGCCAACTGCGGTCTGTT